GTGTGTGTGTGTGTGTGTGTGTGTGTGTGTGTGTGTGTGTGTGTGTGTGTGTGTGTGAGTGTGTGAGAGAGAGAGAACTCTTACAAATACTTTGATATTTACCATAGTACTGAATGATTAAAATTTTTTTATTACACGACTGCATGAAATACCCGATTCTTTCTGCGTCTCTTTCTTCTAACAAAAGAAAATTATTTCAACTCAAAATCAATATTTCATGTGCACATATTTATTTATGTGTTAAGCAGCTGTATAATAAGCTGGATAATGTACAGTCAGACAGTCATTATCACAAAATAAACCACTCTTATTTCGTTTATTTTGAAATAATGAGCACCCACAGAACGAGTGACTGTACATTATCCTTATCACGGAACAAGTCCCCAAAAACAAAGCTATAGCATTCACTAACTCGTATTTGAAACAAATCAGAAGAAAAACATCTGAATAGCATCATAACCCGAACAAGAGGGCCAGAGTTACATTAGAGGAGCTGTGATATGGATCAGATTATTATTACAACCTCCCATCTAAACATTCATATCCATTATTAAAATCTGTAGAATATTCTAATGCAAGTCAACAGATGTAGTCTGGCTGAACTCAAGAATGATATATACACAATGCAATTTAATAACAGCAAATGAGATTGCTTAAATTAAACAGATGCATAGTTTGTATAACATTTTTTAATATTTATGTATTTGAAATGCAAATAAAATTTGGATTTAACAAACTAATAAACTTAATGTGATGCATATTTCTGAATGCAAAAAAACTGTTTATTATTAACTATTTGCATCTTTTTGATTTTATTTAAACAACATTTTTAAAATGCATTTTTTTTAAATTGCTTAGAATCTGCATAAATTTGTGTAATCAATCACATTTATGCAGTTATAAACAAATTGGATTTATTAATAAATATATAAACCTGGTTATAAACACATTCAGTTTATTAGTACTATTACAGAATTTCATTTATGTATGACTGACAAATATGCATCACCTTAAGTTTATTAGTTTGTTTATGCTAAAACAAATATTATATGCAATTCAAATATATAAATCTTAAATTTAGGCGTAAATATAGTCTCCCTATTGACTAAGATAAGGGGAACTATCACTAGTCTTATTCATTCAAGTGAACTTGGTTTTCAGCAGATAATCTCAAAATGGCCAAATATCGGCCGATATATCAGTCTATTGCTAATATCAACCCTATTCTGCATAAAAAGAAACAGTAATGAGCACATGCATCTTAATCGGTGATATGCTTCCACCTAGTGGAGGAGGAAAAATCAAGAACTGAACCGTCTTTATATGATGTGTAGAAATCTGACATAAGTGACCCTGGAGCACAAAACCAGTCATAAGAAATTGAGATTTATGCGTCAGCTGAAAGCTGAATAAATAATCTTTCCATTGATGTGTGGTTTGTTATGATCGGACAATATTTGGTCGATATACAACTATTTGAAAATCTGGAATCTGAGGGTGCTAAAAAAATCTAAATATTGAGAAAATCATCTTTAAAGTTGTTCAAATGAAGTTCTTAGCAATGCATATTACTAATTAAACATTAAGTTTTGATATATTTACGGTAGGAAATTTACTAAATATCTTCATGGAACATGATCTTTATTTAATATCCTAATGATTTTTGGCATAAAAGAAAAATTGTGACCCATACAATGTATTGTTGGCTATTGCTACAAATATCCCCCAGCGACTTAACACTGCTTTTGTGCTGCAGGGACACATACAGTACGCACCCTGCACAGACACCAGAAGTAGTATGTAGTATATGAAACCTATACTGATCACATAGCTGTCCTAACATGGTTTTCACACATTTAAATGATCAGTAATGGTGAACGAAAGCCCTAGATGATCAGCAAAGACACTCGGAGTGGTGTGGTGTTGTGTAGTGTCTGGGGATCATCTAAGCTTCACAGCAGCATTTGCATGGAAAATCCAATAAATAACATCAGTCAGAACGCACCGTGGTGTTTAGCACTTGTGATTTACAGATTAAATGTTATGTTTAAGAGCAATGGACAACATTCACATGCCATATTTGTACAGTAGCTCGGCTGACGGCTGAACCCGGGACGTCTGCTTTGGTTATACAAGCCTCACGATGAAGACGTCTTCAGCACAGTCCAGTCAGTACTAAATCAAGGTAGGAAGGTACTCGCTCGGTCCGGAGCGCTTCATGAGACAGAACAGCTGTTCATTGTCCAGTCTGTGCCGCCTGCAGCATACAGCACATACAGCCAGCATCAAGGCTTGTGCTTGAAATGAGCCTCAACTGCATAGAGAAATTAAACACAGTCAGTCGATTCCGATGAGTGTCTTTGTATTGTTTCAGTGTGTTTGTGTACCTGCGTACTCCTGCGGCATCATGGGACGGTTGACGACTCTCTGAAAGGCTGCGATCCAGTCCTTCTGCTCCGCCTCGGTTTCACAAGCAAACAGGAACTTCCTGTCTGGGGTTTCAATGGTGATCCCGTACTTCCAGTGATATCCCTGGATCGAGGGCGGCAGCCCGGATACCACAGTATACCTGTTCTCCTTACTGCCGATGAACACCTCGCCGCGTGCATATGCATCCTAAAAGAGGGAGTATAATATAATATAATATAATATAAAAAAATTAAATAAATAAATATAATATAATATAATACAAAATATAATATAATATCATTAAAATAAAATAAAATAAATAAATTATAATGTAATATAATATAATAGAAAATAATATATTAAATAAATAAATAAATATAATTAAAATTAAATTAAATAAATAAATAATATAATATAATATTAAATAAATAGATAAATATAATATAAAATAAATCAAGAACTGAACCGTCTTTATATGATGTGTAGAAATCTGACATAAGTGACCCTGGAGCACAAAACCAGTCATAAGAAATTGAGATTTATGCGTCAGCTGAAAGCTGAATAAATAATCTTTCCATTGATGTGTGGTTTGTTAGGATAGGACAATATTTGGTCGATATACAACTATTTGAAAATCTGGAATCTGAGGGTGCTAAAAAAATCTAAATATTGAGAAAATCATCTTTAAAGTTGTTCAAATGAAGTTCTTAGCAATGCATATTACTAATTAAACATTAAGTTTTGATATATTTACGGTAGGAAATTTACTAAATATCTTCATGGAACATGATCTTTATTTAATATCCTAATGATTTTTGGCATAAAAGAAAAATTGTGACCCATACAATGTATTGTTGGCTATTGCTACAAATATCCCCCAGCGACTTAACACTGCTTTTGTGCTGCAGGGACACATACAGTACGCACCCTGCACAGACACCAGAAGTAGTATGTAGTATATGAAACCTATACTGATCACATAGCTGTCCTAACATGGTTTTCACACATTTAAATGATCAGTAATGGTGAACGAAAGCCCTAGATGATCAGCAAAGACACTCGGAGTGGTGTGGTGTTGTGTAGTGTCTGGGGATCATCTAAGCTTCACAGCAGCATTTGCATGGAAAATCCAATAAATAACATCAGTCAGAACGCACCGTGGTGTTTAGCACTTGTGATTTACAGATTAAATGTTATGTTTAAGAGCAATGGACAACATTCACATGCCATATTTGTACAGTAGCTCGGCTGACGGCTGAACCCGGGACGTCTGCTTTGGTTATACAAGCCTCACGATGAAGACGTCTTCAGCACAGTCCAGTCAGTACTAAATCAAGGTAGGAAGGTACTCGCTCGGTCCGGAGCGCTTCATGAGACAGAACAGCTGTTCATTGTCCAGTCTGTGCCGCCTGCAGCATACAGCACATACAGCCAGCATCAAGGCTTGTGCTTGAAATGAGCCTCAACTGCATAGAGAAATTAAACACAGTCAGTCGATTCCGATGAGTGTCTTTGTATTGTTTCAGTGTGTTTGTGTACCTGCGTACTCCTGCGGCATCATGGGACGGTTGACGACTCTCTGAAAGGCTGCGATCCAGTCCTTCTGCTCCGCCTCGGTTTCACAAGCAAACAGGAACTTCCTGTCTGGGGTTTCAATGGTGATCCCGTACTTCCAGTGATATCCCTGGATCGAGGGCGGCAGCCCGGATACCACAGTATACCTGTTCTCCTTACTGCCGATGAACACCTCGCCGCGTGCATATGCATCCTAAAAGAGGGAGTATAATATAATATAATATAATATAAAAAAATTAAATAAATAAATATAATATAATATAATACAAAATATAATATAATATCATTAAAATAAAATAAAATAAATAAATTATAATGTAATATAATATAATAGAAAATAATATATTAAATAAATAAATAAATATAATTAAAATTAAATTAAATAAATAAATAATATAATATAATATTAAATAAATAGATAAATATAATATAAAATAAAATATAATATATATTTTATTTAAAATATATTAATTTATAAAGTATACTGTATGTTAAACATACTACTACATTTGACATATACTAATATAGTAGTAATATATATTATATAATCATATACACATTTATATTGTATATTATATTAATATAAGATTTAACATTTAAAATAAATATATTTTTATTTTTATTATATATGTTAAATGTAGTACTACCTCACATACTTATATAAAATAATATAAAACCATATAAAAAACAACATAAATGATAGAATATTACATTTTACTAAAATTCTATTTAAACTCATAAAATGTTATTCAAACTATATTTCAGTACTACATACTATACTAATAAATAACGAATTAATATAATATAATAAATATAAAATTTAATTAAATAAATATTTTTCTACAGGTATTTAAAAATGTTTCTTATATTTTATAAGTATATGTTAAATGTAATACAGCATGTAACATACTAATACAATATAATATAATATAACAATTAAAATAAAATTTGGATTTAACAAACTAATAAACTTAATGTGATGCATATTTCTGAATGCAAAAAAACTGTTTATTATTAACTATTTGCATCTTTTTGATTTTATTTAAACAACATTTTTAAAATGCATTTTTTTTAAATTGCTTAGAATCTGCATAAATTTGTGTAATCAATCACATTTATGCAGTTATAAACAAATTGGATTTATTAATAAATATATAAACCTGGTTATAAACACATTCAGTTTATTAGTACTATTACAGAATTTCATTTATGTATGACTGACAAATATGCATCACCTTAAGTTTATTAGTTTGTTTATGCTAAAACAAATATTATATGCAATTCAAATATATAAATCTTAAATTTAGGCGTAAATATAGTCTCCCTATTGACTAAGATAAGGGGAACTATCACTAGTCTTATTCATTCAAGTGAACTTGGTTTTCAGCAGATAATCTCAAAATGGCCAAATATCGGCCGATATATCAGTCTATTGCTAATATCAACCCTATTCTGCATAAAAAGAAACAGTAATGAGCACATGCATCTTAATCGGTGATATGCTTCCACCTAGTGGAGGAGGAAAAATCAAGAACTGAACCGTCTTTATATGATGTGTAGAAATCTGACATAAGTGACCCTGGAGCACAAAACCAGTCATAAGAAATTGAGATTTATGCGTCAGCTGAAAGCTGAATAAATAATCTTTCCATTGATGTGTGGTTTGTTAGGATAGGACAATATTTGGTCGATATACAACTATTTGAAAATCTGGAATCTGAGGGTGCTAAAAAAATCTAAATATTGAGAAAATCATCTTTAAAGTTGTTCAAATGAAGTTCTTAGCAATGCATATTACTAATTAAACATTAAGTTTTGATATATTTACGGTAGGAAATTTACTAAATATCTTCATGGAACATGATCTTTATTTAATATCCTAATGATTTTTGGCATAAAAGAAAAATTGTGACCCATACAATGTATTGTTGGCTATTGCTACAAATATCCCCCAGCGACTTAACACTGCTTTTGTGCTGCAGGGACACATACAGTACGCACCCTGCACAGACACCAGAAGTAGTATGTAGTATATGAAACCTATACTGATCACATAGCTGTCCTAACATGGTTTTCACACATTTAAATGATCAGTAATGGTGAACGAAAGCCCTAGATGATCAGCAAAGACACTCGGAGTGGTGTGGTGTTGTGTAGTGTCTGGGGATCATCTAAGCTTCACAGCAGCATTTGCATGGAAAATCCAATAAATAACATCAGTCAGAACGCACCGTGGTGTTTAGCACTTGTGATTTACAGATTAAATGTTATGTTTAAGAGCAATGGACAACATTCACATGCCATATTTGTACAGTAGCTCGGCTGACGGCTGAACCCGGGACGTCTGCTTTGGTTATACAAGCCTCACGATGAAGACGTCTTCAGCACAGTCCAGTCAGTACTAAATCAAGGTAGGAAGGTACTCGCTCGGTCCGGAGCGCTTCATGAGACAGAACAGCTGTTCATTGTCCAGTCTGTGCCGCCTGCAGCATACAGCACATACAGCCAGCATCAAGGCTTGTGCTTGAAATGAGCCTCAACTGCATAGAGAAATTAAACACAGTCAGTCGATTCCGATGAGTGTCTTTGTATTGTTTCAGTGTGTTTGTGTACCTGCGTACTCCTGCGGCATCATGGGACGGTTGACGACTCTCTGAAAGGCTGCGATCCAGTCCTTCTGCTCCGCCTCGGTTTCACAAGCAAACAGGAACTTCCTGTCTGGGGTTTCAATGGTGATCCCGTACTTCCAGTGATATCCCTGGATCGAGGGCGGCAGCCCGGATACCACAGTATACCTGTTCTCCTTACTGCCGATGAACACCTCGCCGCGTGCATATGCATCCTAAAAGAGGGAGTATAATATAATATAATATAATATAAAAAAATTAAATAAATAAATATAATATAATATAATACAAAATATAATATAATATCATTAAAATAAAATAAAATAAATAAATTATAATGTAATATAATATAATAGAAAATAATATATTAAATAAATAAATAAATATAATTAAAATTAAATTAAATAAATAAATAATATAATATAATATTAAATAAATAGATAAATATAATATAAAATAAAATATAATATATATTTTATTTAAAATATATTAATTTATAAAGTATACTGTATGTTAAACATACTACTACATTTGACATATACTAATATAGTAGTAATATATATTATATAATCATATACACATTTATATTGTATATTATATTAATATAAGATTTAACATTTAAAATAAATATATTTTTATTTTTATTATATATGTTAAATGTAGTACTACCTCACATACTTATATAAAATAATATAAAACCATATAAAAAACAACATAAATGATAGAATATTACATTTTACTAAAATTCTATTTAAACTCATAAAATGTTATTCAAACTATATTTCAGTACTACATACTATACTAATAAATAACGAATTAATATAATATAATAAATATAAAATTTAATTAAATAAATATTTTTCTACAGGTATTTAAAAATGTTTCTTATATTTTATAAGTATATGTTAAATGTAATACAGCATGTAACATACTAATACAATATAATATAACAATTAAAATAAATAAATAAATATACATTTTATTTAAAAAAATAAAAATGTTATTTTATTATATTTCATTATAATATATAAGACTATGTTAAATGTAGTACTACATATTACATTATATTATCAACATATTGTAATAATAAAAAAAGTACAAATAAATTATAGGATATTACATTTAAAATTACAATTAAAAAAATTATATTGAAAATTATTTTAAAAAAAAAATATATATATATATATGATTATATTTTAGTAGTTAACATATACTAATATAATATAATATAATTAATATAATAAAAATGATATTTTATTATACTATATGTTACATGTAGTACAATATTTAACATTTACTAATATAATTAAAATAAAAATAAATTACATTGTATAATATAATAAAATACCACATATCAATTGGCAGTTTGGAAATGGAGAAGAAAAAAAGTCTAAATATCAACTTTTACTCACCAAGGGATCTTTAAAGTACATTAGTCTCCTATCATCCATCGTAAACCATCTTTTCTTAAAGCCCTCTGTGTGCTAAAAAAGAGACGACTCCAGCATGAATCAATGTGAAGAAGGGCATTAGGAAGAGATAACGTCCAGTCAGCAGCTCAGCAGCATCCCTGAGGACTTTATTTTGTGATAATGACCAGCTGACTGGACAGTATCTGCCTTATTACACAGACACTTACCAAATAAACACATAAAAGCATATGAATCATTGATTTCACTTCAAATGATTTATTGTGCAAGAAGAAAACGTGGCACGAAACTAGCAGAATGAAGCATGATTGGGTGGACTTCATCTCTTTTCTGAAGGTTTACTGAAAAAGACCCTCACCCTTGGGCCTGTTTTCTCCATGAATCCCTCCTTCATGAAGTTTCTTGTCAGTCTGGGTACCAGCTACATCATAACCACACACAGACAGACCAAATATATCAATAAGGAAGCATATCAATAACATATCACTATTTGGATGCTCTTTAAACATGCACAGATATTTAAAAAGGTAGAAATTATTATTAATATAATCAATCATTATATCAGTATTAACAAATGTTTTCCATGTCTACATTTAAAACAAGATCAAATTAAGAAGCAAAACTGTACTATAAGACTTCTTAAATCGTTTTAATTAAATACTCAAAGCCTTCAAGGCACCATAAAGGTATTCGTAAACTACAAATCTTTTCATAAAACATTGTAATCAAAGTTAAAATAAATGCATTCTAATATTTGCAGATTACATCTGTCGTGTGTTTTAATGCATGATACTTTCTAAAGATGTAACTATGAATAGTTACGTTTTACAATGTATTATAAATGTGTTGATAATTATTAATGAGATCATACAATGCATTATAAGGTGCATTACAAATAATTTCATAATGCATTATACATAAAGGTTTCAAGTAAAGTTTACTATAGTTACCCGTATAAACCTTGTTAAATGTATGCTTTAAAACAATTATAAAGCTTTCAGATATATTCTCTGAAAACACATCTTAATATCTAATGTATTTCAGCTTTTTGAGTAAATTTAATTTGTTTCTACAATACTTACTACAAGAATTAAACAAGAAAATGATTGCTTGCAGTGTATGAGTGAGAAACATGATTTAGTGCACATGTTCACAGTCACTACAGTGAGCTTCGCGCTCATAACTCATTTTTATGTGTCAGCTGCTGGAAGAAATGTGATTCACATACGTCCTCATCATTAGCTCCAGGAAATGCCACCTTCTGGTAATGAAACCGTGCTGCTCGGATCGCAGTGAACCAGTCCACCATTTCCTGCACACACACACACACACACAGACAGACACACACACACACAGAGAGACACACACACACACACACCCACAGAGACGCACACACACACACACAGACAGACACACACACACACAGAGAGACACACACACACACACACCCACAGAGACGCACACACACACACACAGACAGACACACACACACACAGAGAGACACACACACACACACACCCACAGAGACGCACACACACACACACAGACAGACACACACACACACAGAGAGACACACACACACACACACCCACAGAGACGCACACACACACACACAGACAGACACACACACACACAGAGAGACACACACACACACACACCCACAGAGACGCACACACACACACACAGACAGACACACACACACACAGAGAGACACACACACACACACACCCACAGAGACGCACACACACACACACAGACAGACACACACACACACAGAGAGACACACACACACACACACCCACAGAGACGCACACACACACACACAGACAGACACACACACACACAGAGAGACACACACACACACACACCCACAGAGACGCACACACACACACACAGACAGACACACACACACACAGAGAGACACACACACACACACACCCACAGAGACGCACACACACACACACAGACAGACACACACACACACAGAGAGACACACACACACACACACCCACAGAGACGCACACACACACACACAGACAGACACACACACACACAGAGAGACACACACACACACACACCCACAGAGACGCACACACACACACACAGACAGACACACACACACACAGAGAGACACACACACACACACACCCACAGAGACGCACACACACACACACAGACAGACACACACACACACAGAGAGACACACACACACACACACCCACAGAGACGCACACACACACACACAGACAGACACACACACACACAGAGAGACACACACACACACACACCCACAGAGACGCACACACACACACACAGACAGACACACACACACACAGAGAGACACACACACACACACACCCACAGAGACGCACACACACACACACAGACAGACACACACACACACAGAGAGACACACACACACACACACCCACAGAGACGCACACACACACACACAGACAGACACACACACACACAGAGAGACACACACACACACACACCCACAGAGACGCACACACACACACACAGACAGACACACACACACACAGAGAGACACACACACACACACACCCACAGAGACGCACACACACACACACAGACAGACACACACACACACAGAGAGACACACACACACACACACCCACAGAGACGCACACACACACACACAGACAGACACACACACACACAGAGAGACACACACACACACACACCCACAGAGACGCACACACACACACACAGACAGACACACACACACACAGAGAGACACACACACACACACACCCACAGAGACGCACACACACACACACAGACAGACACACACACACACAGAGAGACACACACACACACACACCCACAGAGACGCACACACACACACACAGACAGACACACACACACACAGAGAGACACACACACACACACACCCACAGAGACGCACACACACACACACAGACAGACACACACACACACAGAGAGACACACACACACACACAGAGAGAGAGAGACACACACAGCAGAGGATGCTTTATGATGCAATAACTGCTGTTTGACCTCCACACATGATGATTATCATTACAGCCTGAAAATATCTCTCCATCTCTTCTGAGAGCCAAAGAAGTGTTGATCCTCCAGTAGATCAACTTCTTGCTCTTCCTCTTTACATCTCAAGATGCGATTAGTTTCAGGTTCTAAGCAATGATAAATATTCGTCTTCATGATAAAGTGCACCGTGTTAAAAAAGCACTATGTAGTGAAAGAGGAAGAGTGTTTTTAGAGATCAAGCCACTGATGTTTGTGGTTGACGCGCTGTATTGACCAACACGGCAGAACATCATCTGCTCCAGATTATATATATATATATATATATATATATATATATATATATAATTAATATTTTAAATTGTTTTTTTTGTTTTTTTTAGTTAATGTTTATTTTATGTCAAGTAGCAAAACTTTGTATTTGCATGGTTGTTGTATTCTGTACAATCTATAAATTCAATATAAAACCAGCATAAATTCCTGATTTAGTTAATTAAGCATGTGTGTGTGTGAGAGGGAAGCAGAGACTAACGTCGTGCTTGTTGAAGTACTTCAGCGCTCCTTCTCTTTCAGACAGAATGAACTTGCGACTGAGGAACTGTCCATTGTCTCGACCACGTTTCCATAGAAACCCCTCTCTGTACCCTAAAAAAGAACGAGAGAAGAGCAAAAAAGAAAGCATGAGGAGGAGTTTTTCCACCTATAAATATCTACATCCTTAAAATATTTTAGTAAAAAGGGAAGTTGTAGCTTACTATACACGAGCAATGTCAAAACAGAAAAAGATCAAGAAATGAACATCATTTAATAATGCTTTCCTAAAAGCATTGATAAAATTAATTTTAAAAACCTGTAATTGCATTAAAAATGACCAATGACTCATCCTGCACTAGAGATTTCTGTCCAATCAAATGCTTTCTAGAAGGAGACTGATGTTTAATGCTTACTGTTGGGTTTCAAAGTCCCTAAGCAGCAGTAATAGTAATGCTAGCCTTAGTGTGCACTAATGAGGAGCCGGTCTCTATCTATCTCTCTGTTCTGGTACACTAGTGCTCATGAATCATTCACTCAGCATTACCTCAGCAATCGATAAGCGCACCTCTCCACATGACCCATCAATAACACAACTGAGCACAGCACAGGTAATAGTGCGCGAGTGTGTCGACACACACAGCTTCATGCGGGACTTATTCATCTGTCTATCTATCAGTCTTGAGCTGTGGTCACACCTACTATTCTCTGTGTGTCGGACAGTAATGTCTCAGATATTCATTATAATTACATATGCATATAGTTTGGGGGTCAGAGTTTTTTTTTTGAAGAAATTTATACTTTTATTCATCAAGGACATCAAAAGTAACAGTAAAGACATTCTGTGTGTGTGTGTGAGTGTGTGAGAGAGTGTGTGTGTGTGTGAGTGAGTGAGTGTGTGTGTGTGTGTTTGTTTGTGTGTGTGTGAGAGCGAGAGAGAGAGAGATAGTGTGTGTGTATGTGTGTGTGTGTGTGTGTGTATAGTAACAAAAATATTCATTATAATTACATATGCATATAGTTTGGGGGTCAGAGTTTTTTTTTTAAAGAAATTTATACTTTTATTCATCAAGGACATCAAAAGTAACAGTAAAGACATTTATAACGTTACAAAAGATTTCTATTTCAAATAAATGCTATTCTATTGAACTTTCTGTTCATCTGTGAATCCTGAAAAATAAAATGTATCACAGTTTTCACAAAAATATTGTGCAGCACGACTGTTTTCAACATTGATAATAATCAGAAATGTTTCTAATAATCAGCATATTACACTGATTTCTGAAGATCATGTGACACTGAAGACTGGAGGAATGATGCTGAAAATACAGCTGCGCATCACAGAAATACATTACAGTTTAACAGAGATTCACAGAGAAAACAGCTGTTTTAAATTGAAATCATATTTCACAATTTTGATCAAATAAACGCAGCCTCAGTGAGCAGATAACACTTCTTTCAAATGCATTAAAAAATCTTACTGGCCCCAAACTGTTAAATAGTAAACATACTATTTTAATACTTCTTAATAATTGTAATAAATACTGAGAGGGTAGAAGAAGAAATGAAGTGGAAGAGTGAGAAGGTGGAAACAGAATGTCTCAAGCCAGCACTGAATTCAGTCTTGCAAAAACACCAATGCCCACGCTGTAGCCTCCAGACAATATACTTCAGCACTTAGATCACACACTGTATGACTAATGCTATTAACTGTACACCCGCCACAAAAACACCATTACACACACAAACGACTTCAATGTGAATGTCTAAACACAGCAGCAAATCTCATGCAGCACAATGAAAGTCACGCAATGCAACACAGAACACAAATGCATGTATGTTTGTGCGTGCATGTGTGCTAATGTGTATCAAAGATGAGATCACTGTCAGCCAATCAGATCTCGCTTCCCAATAAATAAGACTGTGAGCCATGAAACTGGATATTCTGAGTGGTAATGAAACTGAGTCTCCCAGTTAGATGCAGTATGGACCTCAAATGTGCATAGTCAGGAACACATAAACACCTAGAGATGTGGCTGAAATGAGAGAATGAGACTGACTTCATACTCATGGTGCCATAAGCCACAAAAACAACAGCTTGAGGAGGCTCTCACCTGCTGAATAAGGCTCTTGTTTCTCGACGTGTATAAACTCCTGTCTCTCATACTTGGCTCTGATCCACTGCTCCCTCAAAATCCTGTCAACGATAAATACATCAATTCATGTGTCAATATTACATTAAAACCTTAAAGGATTCTGACGGCACCCATTCACTTGCAGAGACACTGATGCAATGCTACATTTCTACAAACCAAACCTAACAAACTCATCCTAATCTCGGACGGCCTGAAGGTGAGGACATTTTCAGCAAATCAATAAATAAGTATTTTCTTGTAAAACATTCTCCAATAAACTTTGTTTGGGAAAAGCTGCTCTGATGTCTGGTTGATTTAGTTTGTTGAATAAAACTAATTATTTTAGATGTTACCACATGAAAGACATTTAAATACTAAAATAAAAAAATCATCATATTACTCATACTTATAAAGCCTTTATGTGTTTTCCCTTTTTTTTTTTTTTTTACCACATTGAGCCTTAAAATCAACACTCACCACTCATTTTACTTCTGTAAAATTACATATTTCCAAAATTGCCAAAGATCAGTTATTTTGAACAGCTTAAACAGAGTAAAACAAATTACAAGGTAATTGTGACGTCATAATTTCACGTTTATTTCATCCAGTTATGACTACATTGGTTGTAATTGTCACTTTATTTCACAATGTGAATTCATTTCTTACTTTAAACTTTATATTACAATTACCTTTTTTAATCGGAGAAGGAAACAGCTTTCCATCCACACACTGAAGAAACAAATCACTCAGAAATTTATTTTAAATTTTAATATTAATTATAAAGAAACGCCGAGTAATACAGAAAACACTGAAATAATATTTTCTAGTAAATCAAACAAATGTTATTGCAGTATGTTTAACAACTAAAAAAAAAAACATTTTTTACAGTGTTGAGAAGGATCACAAGTAACTGAAATTATAAGCAAGAATAGAATTAGTGCAAATTGCCTGAGGGTGCACATATAATGTACTATTTCTGAGGTTTTTTAAAAACTAATATTGCATATGAATTAAAAAATAACATTTCTACCATCATTTATTCACTGTATACTAACACTATCGTTTTGTCTAAAAAATAGTTCAAATGAACATATTTAGCATTTGAATATGGTCTTTCTTTTTGTTTTCATTAAAGAAATGTCTACATTGCATGTGAGCACATGTGAACAGAATATTTTGGCCAAAAAGCCACTCATCGTGAAACGCAACCTACAAACAGGAAGGAAGTAACATTCTCGAGCCATGTGAGAAAACAGTCCCACTGACGGTTTGCGTGTGACGGCTCAAAAACCCCCACAATGTCAAACACCACCAGAGCCCTACAGCTACAAGAATGTAAGTGCACTCAACAGTGAACAGGAAAAGACGAGCCTGGCATAGTACAGTATTGTGGTTATTATCATGATGTTTGAGGCCTACCTGCAGTCTGTGTGGGAGGGCCGGTGATAAAACGGAGGAGCTTGCTGTTCGTACTTGGCCTTTGCTGCTTCATTCCCCATAGATGTGATAAACTAGAGGAAGAGAATGCATGGCACGGTTTACAGGCACAATATTAAACAAATAGATAACACGTTCCAATATTTGTTAACGTTAGTTAACATGAACGAACAGTGAGCAATACTTCCATAGCATTTATTAAAAGAACAGTTCACCCAAAAATGAAAATGGGTGAACTTTTTCTTCATCGGGTTTGGAGAAATGTAGCATTGCATCAGTGTCTC